TCTTCTTAGTTCTAACGCCACTGTTAGCATGTTATGATACTGCATCTGTATAGGTTGTAAAGACTATGTCTTTTTATTTTTCTGTAGTCTGGTTGTGGACAGAAAAGAACTGGTTTAAAAGCCAAAGATTATTTTAGGATTACAGGATTACTTCTAAAAGCAAATTATCTGAGATTCTTTGTAAGTGCTGTTTGCACATCTATTTGTTCAAGTCCTGAGGGAAGTCTAGTTACAGATGTGCTGAAGCCAAGGGGTCTGTAAAAATTAACTTCAGCTGGCAACAAATACATGATTGTTCTGTGGCCTTTTGGCCAGTTGCTTATAGAAGTGTCTGACATACTGGTTAAAAAGGCTATAGTTTATAGCAACTAAGGAGAGGAAGTTATATTGGCTTTCTTCACGTGTGAGGTTTTTCCTTTGTTGCAGAGAAAAAAGAACTGTTTTTTTTCTCTCTCAGCTATCCATTCCACAGACCAATCATCTACATGTTGCTAGCTGAATCTCCCTTTTAACATGGCCCCTGGCTCCAGTTGGCTTGACCTCTCCCACTACTTGAACAAACAGTGGTGTAAACACCACTCACAAAGAATACCAGATATCTTGCTTTTAAAAACTGGTGACAATCCTTTCCACAACCCTTAGCTTTCAAAACAGTTCTTTTTCCATTTCAGTTTATAATCAAAAATACAGAAAAATAGACAAAAACAGCCATTACAGCTGTCTAAGGAGCCTTGGTGAATTTCTGCAGTGCATCTTGAAAATGGTACACACACTGCTACTACTGACCATCAGTGGTAGAGAAAGTGAATGTTTGTGGATGTGGTGCCAATCTGTTGCCTTGCTTCATCCTGGATAGAGAGAAGCTTCTTGGTCGTTGTTGGAGCTGCACTTATTCAGGCAAGTGCAGAGTATTCTATCACACTCGTGATTTGTACCTTGTATATGGTGGTCAGGCTTTGGGGTGTGAGGAGGTGAGAATAGAATTAGGAATCCTAATCTATAATCTGCTTTTATAACCATAGTACTCACATGGCTAGGTTAGTTCAGTTTCTGGTCAATGGTAATGCCCAGGATGCGGATAATGAGGGATTCAGCAATGGTAAATTTCAAGGGGCAGTGGTTAGATTCTGTTTTGCTAGAGATGGTCATTGGCTTGCACAAATGGTCAGCTAAAACCTGGAAAAATTCTTGGTCTTGCTGCATTTGGATATGACTTTTTCAGCATTGGAGTAGTTGTACATGGTGCTGGATATTGTGCAATCATCGACTTCTGATCTTATGATAAAGGGAAGATCATTGATGAAGCAGCTGAAGGTGGTTATGTCTAGGATACTACTCTAAGAAACTCCTGCAGAGATGCCCTATAGTTGAGATGACTGACATCCTACACCATAACTATCTTGCTTTGGGCCAGGTAATACCCAAGCAGTACAGAGTTTTCCCCTGATTCCCAGTGAGTCCAGTTTTGCCAGGGCTCTTTGATGCCACACTCAGAAAAGATTCTCTGTTCAGTTTCATTTCTTTTGAGTTTTCATGATAAATATTACAACTGAGTGGCTTGTGAAGTCATTTCATAGGCCAGTTAAAAGTCAATCACATTGCTGTCGGTCCAAAGTCACATATAGGCTGTACCAGGTGATAATGGCAGATTTCCCTCCCTGAAGGATATTAGCGATCCAAATCATTTTTTCTGATAACCACATCCAGTTTCTTGGTCATCATAAGACTTTTATTTCCAGATATGGCTCATATGTTCATTGGGTTTATAAATAGAGGCACACAGCATAAAAGCAAGGAAGTGATAGTTCATCCTTCAATATAGTTTGTTGAAAGCGGTGTCACAGGTGGACAGGGCAGTGAAGAAGGCCTTTAGCATGCTGGCTTTCATTGGTCGAGGCATTGAGTATAGGAGTTGGGATGTTATGTCACAGCTGTATAAGTCATTGGTGAGGCTGCACTTTGAGTATTGTGTACAGTTTTGGTCACCAGATAGGAAAGACATAGTTAAACTAGAAAGAAGATTTACGAAGATGTTGCCAGGACTAGCAGACCTGAGTTATAGGGAGAGGTTGGCAAGGATAATACTTTATTCCTTGGAACATAGGAGAATGAGAGGTGACCTTATTGAGGTGTATAAAATCATGAGGGTCATAGATAGGATGAATGCATATAGTCTTTTTCCCATGGATGGGGAATTATAAACTAGAGGGCATAGGTTTAAGGTGAGAGTGATAGATTTAAGAAAAACCTGAGGGGCAACTTCTTCACGCAGAGGGTGGCATATATATGCAATTGACTGCCAGAGAAAAAGTAGTTGAGGCAGGTACAATAACAACATTTAAAAAACATATGGATAGATACATGGATGAGAAAGGTTTAGAGGGATATGGATCAAATGCGGGCACTTGGGACTAGCTAAGTGGGCACCATGGTCAGCATGGACCAGTTTGGGCTGAAGGGCCTGTTTCTAAGCTGTATTACTCTATGACTCTTTGACTCTAAGTGATACTATATCTCTATAAATCATTGTTCAGACCACATTTTGAGTATTGCATTCAGTTCTGGGCACCTTATTTAAGGAAGGATGTTAAAGCCCTGGAGAGAATGCAAAGGAGACTTACTTGAATAATATCAGGAATGAGGGGTTTTGAATACAAGGAAAGGTGAGAGAAATTGGGTTTATTCTCTTTGGAGCAGAGAAGATTAAGAGGTGACCTCATTGAGGTGTTCAAAGTTATGAACAGGTTTGACAGGGTAAAAATGGATATTCTGTTTATACTAGTTGATATGTCAATAACTCAGGGTCACGATTTCAAGACTGTCAGCAAAAGAACTAGGAATGAGATGAGGAGTAACTTCATTACTCAGAGAGTTGTTAGAATTTGGAATGTGCTGTCTTGGAGAGTGGCGGAGACGGATTCCACAGGAGGTTTCAAAAGATAACTGGCTATATATTTGAAAGTGATGAATTTAAAGGGCTACAGTGATAAGCTGGAGAAGGGGACTAACTGAGTAGCTCTTTCAGGAGCCAGTACTGACATGATGGGTCAAATGGCCTCCTTCTGTACTGTAAAATTCTACAATTCTATATTTATTGCATTTAATTTCCACCAACTACCCTGGTGGCATTAGAACTCAAGTTCCCAGAACATTACCTGGGTCTCTGGATTAATGACCAAACAATAATACTAGTAGGCCATCACAGAGGCCATCATTTGTTGAACGTTGCTTCTCAAAGATAAGCAGTCTCTGTTTCTGGAGGTAAATGTAGAGTAGATTTTGCTTCAAAGAGGAGTCATACTGGGCTCGAAATATTTACCAAGGCTTAGGGATTGCAACTCTCATTATTGCATGTATCATCATGTTCACTCAAAGGTTCACACCTACTTCATCCTTGCAAAATACTGACCCTTCCTCCCTCTGCCCTTCTACTCAGTCACTGGGAATACACCTCTACTCTTCCTGCACCATCCCTAACTGTTCTTGTATCCACTACCATCATACTCAATCCCTCCCTTTGACTCATTGAAGGGCTTAATTGACTGAACTTCCCAGACTGATGCCTCCACATCACTCTGACTCACCTATCTGTAATTCGTGGATTGGTTGCTCTTCACCCATCAGACTGACCTCGAACAATTCTCCTAACTGGAATTAGAATTGACTGATAGTAGTAGTGCCCCTGACTCACTATAGTCCCCCTTAACTTCATGAAGGACTGATTGCTCCCCTCTGACTTTCACACACCGTCATTGAACCCATGCTCTTGATCCAACCAGGAAAGAGGTATTGCTGGATCTGGTGCTGGGGAATGAGGTGGTTCATGTGGACCAAATATTAGCGTGGGATTACAAAATTACTGGTAACTGCCCACTTCCCACAAATGAAGCACATGCAGTGTATTTGCCACATGTGATGTGATGCTTTTGTTGTTTTTTTTTCAACATTTCCAACTCCATAATCCTCCACGATCTCTGCACTCCTCTAACTCCGATTTCAGTTGACATGCTGTACCTTCATCTTCCTGGGTAGTAAGTTGTGGAAGTGTCTTCCTAAACCACTTCACATCATTTTGCTCCTTTCAGACCTTCCTATAAACCTAACTCTTTGACAAAATCCTGGCCTTAATAACAGATTACGTGACTTGTGTCTAAGTCTGCTTCGAAACGCTTAAAAAGTTTTAACACATTTATGGGGTGAGGGTGTAGTGATGTGGATGAGATGGGGAGGTAGGTGATGAGGATCTCGTCAGAGGGTTGAGGATATAGAGGGGAGGGGTGAGGGGGATGAGGGTCTAGTGAGGGGAATGATTGTGTAATGAGGAAGGTGAGGGGATGAGTGTGTAGTTAGAGGAGTGAGGGGTGAGTGTGTAAAGTGAGGGGGTGAGGATATATTGAGGGAGTGACAGTGTAAAGCGTGTGGTGAGCATGTAGTGAGGGGGTGAGTGTGTAAAGTGAGGGGTGAATGTGTGCAGGGGGTGAATGTGTGGAGGGAAGGGAAGGGAATGATTTTGTAGTGAGGGGTGAGAGTATTAAGTGAGGGGTGTGTGTAGAGGGGTTGAGTGTGTAATGAGGGGAATGAGTGAGTAGAGAGAGTGTGTAAAGTGAGGACTGAGTGTGAAGAGGGTAGTGTCAAGTGAGGAATGAGGGCAAAGTGAGGGGTGAGTGCGTATTGAGGGGTATGTGTAAAGTGTAGTGAGTGTGTAAAGTGACAGGGTGTGTGTGGAAAGTGAGGGGTGAATCTGTAGAGTGTAGTGAGTGTGTAGAGGGTGTAGTGTGTATTGAGAAATGAGTGTCTGGAGGTTAGTGAATGTGTAAAGTGAGAGGTTTCTGGAGCTGGCCGGGTGACTGGGAGAATGCAGTGCTCTGGTTACTGGGATGTGCCAGCAGCTGGAGTTTGGAATCGGGGCGGGGGGATGGTGGGGGGGTGGGGGGGAAGCTGCAGCTCCATTCCGAGATTTGGGCTCTCTGCTCTCTTTGTGACTGCAGGACCCAGAACTGGGAACGCGACGTGAATCAGAGCGGCTCCGGGAGCTGGGCAATGCGGACAGGCGGTATGGGGTGAGTACGGGGCTGGGCTCGATGCTGTCTGGCCCGGCCAGGGGCAGTCTCTTTGTGCCGGGGAGGTATCGAGAGCGGTCCTTTTATGTGGCCGCAGCTCGGCTTCACAACTCCCCAAGTGGAAAGCTCAGTCCCCCTCCGTCAGGCCGTTGCTTTCACTTTCCAAGCTCCCAGTGTTAAACACTTTTTGAAATCAAAGTGAAATTGTGTCAGCTCCTGCCATTGTTCCGGCCACTGCCCGCAATGAGGCCATTCAGCCAACTGAGGCTGTTCTCGACAGAGATCAATGCCAGATTCCTGCTCGCATTCGCCCAACAACATCCTTCAATCTCGACTTTGAGATCTTGTGTAACGAATGCTGGCCTTGCCTGCGGAATTGACTGGCATCAACTGAGTATCGTTAAGTAACAGAGAAGAGTAGGAATAAATAAAGTTGGCAGTCTGTGACCGGCGAGCTCCAACTGCTTACAAATTTGTAGCAACGATGTGGCTGGGGGGCGGTGGGGGCTGGGTCATTTGTAGTATTTCCAAATTTGCTGCTAACACTGAATGCGATGAGAATGTGACTCGTTTGGCGGGGGGGGGGGGGGGGGGGGGGGGGCGGGCGTCTAGTTTGTTTTGTGTGTGGTCTAGGAAGGGAGATACTA